CAATGCTTTTAAAATGGGTGGACTTCAACTCCCAGCATCCCACAGGAGGCAATGCTTTTAAAATGGGTGGACTTCAACTCCCAGCATCCCACAGGAGGCAATGCTTTTAAAATGGGTGGACTTCAACTCCCAGCATCCCACAGGAAGCAACGCTTTAAGAGGGGTGGACTTCAACTCCCAGCATCCCGCAGGAAGCAACGCTTTAAGAGGGGTGGACTTCAATTCCCAGAATCCCACAGGAAGCAATGCTTTAAGAGGGGTGGACTTCAACTCCCAGAATCCCGCAGGAAGCAATGCTTTAAGATGGGTGGACTTCAACTCCCAGCATCCCGCAGGAAGCAATGCTTTAAGAGGGGTGGACTTCAACTCCCAGCATCCCGCAGGAAGCAATGCTTTAAGAGGGGTGGACTTCAACTCCCAGCATCCCGCAGGAAGCAACGCTATAAGAGGGGTGGACTTCAACTCCCAGAATCCCCCAGGATCTTCACAATTTGGGGAGACTAATCTAATAGCCAAGGTGTGTAGGGACCCTCCCCAATTTTTCCCTGTGTTCTTGAGGTACCCAGCCCCCTCCCCATTTCTTCCCCTTCCCCCGCCTTCGGGGCAACGGACACTAACCGAGACCAAAGCTTCTCCGATGCTGGTCAATACGTCCGGCTGCAGCGAATGGATGAGGAGCTTCTGTTCGGTGAGCACAGCCACCATCAGGGCCACGGCGTGTTCGGGCCCCACGGTCTGCAGGAGGGTGAGAAAGCTGGCCCCACTGCAAACAGGAGGGGGAGGAGAAAAAAATTCTACATTTCCCGCTGGCAGAATTTGGACGCGGTTCCAGGTTGCCTCGTCCCATCCTTACCTGAGGGGTAACGGGGACGACACAGGTTGGCACAAGAGCAGGTTGTCGTAGGGGGACATCTAAGGAGCAGAAAAAGAGGGAGGAGCCAATTTAACGACACAACATCTCACACAACTGCCAAATACTGCCGTGGGCCACTAGCGGAGCAGGCATCCGAGGAGGGTTGGGGAGTCTGGGGAAGGCTCTGTGTCGGAGTGGGGGCCAGAGCCGTACGCCGGTTATCAGCTGCCTTCGGAGTCGGACATCAGTGAGGCAGAAGAACAGGTGGAGCCTGTTCCCAGAGTTGCCGGACGAAGGGAAGAGCTAAAGAACAGGGGTCGACTTGGGAAGAAGGCTGCAGGTGGACGGTGAATGGCCCCTCCCAGAGGAACTAAAAGAGGAGCGACAGGGGAGTGGAGTTTGCAGGAGACCATTCGTTCGCTTAATGCGTTCGGGACTCTCCGAGAGACTCCTGGCTCAGTTCTGCAGAGATCGGCCGGCCCGGCAGGTCCTGGGCTGCCACTCACCTGGACCAAGATCCGAGGTCTCTGCGGGGACGGGAAAGGAACGTTGTGCATGAAGTGAGAAATATGCCTAAGGAAGCAGCAGAAGGGAGAGAATGGTTGAAAACAGACAAGCCTACTTTGTAACAATCTCAGCCTCTGAACGGTTGTGATAGACGCAACACGGAGGGGTGGGGTGGGGGGTGTGTCCGTCCCAGTTTGGGCCACTGCGTGAAGCTGGCGGGAGAGTCTAGCCTGCAGAATGTTGCTTTCTGCTCAATGGCTTCGGGACGAAGCCTCCACAGCCAGGAGCAGTCTACCGGAGAACGCCCAGCAAGCCGCAGCGGGAACGGGAAAAGCGAGGGCGGTTCCTTCTTGCTTCTCCCCCACCCTCACCCCCATCCACCGTGGGCTTCCTCTGGACCCCCTTCTCCGGACTCCACTACCCCCACCGCCCCACCCCGGTCCCCCACTTACGCCTCGATGGGCAGGACGTGGGGTCCGGAGATGCTGTAACGGTAGATGAAGGTGAGGAATTTGCGGAAGACGTCGAAGAACGGCCAGTGAGACAAAACGCAGATGCTCTTCCGCGTCTGGATGGACTTGTTGGTGATGGGGCGCCGGTCCACCACGGTGAGGAGGTTGAGACACATGGACTGCCGGTCGGTGAGGCGCTCTCGGGGAAAGGACTCGTAAAACTGCATGGCGGCCCCGTATACCTGGAGTACGGGGAGAGGGAGGAGAAGGGAGCAGAGTTACTCCGGACACAGTTCGCCTCACCAGGGAGATCCAGGCGGATATTTTGGTGGCCTCCCGTTTCAAAACGGCCAGAAATATTCAGGTACTCGTAGTCCTCGACTTACAAAGGATTCATTTAGTGACGAGGGACCAAAGGCCTGGGGAAAACGTGACTTACAGCCGTTTTTTCACACTTACAACCACCGCCCTACGCTGACGTGATCCAGACTCAGACGTTGGGCAACTGGTTCAGTATTTATCACGGTCGTCCCGGGGGTCATGTGTTCCCCTTTTGTGACCTTCTGACAAAGGGGGGGGGCAGATTTGCTTCACTACCGTGTTCCTCACTTAACAACGGCGTGTATTTGCTTAATGACGAGGGCAAGGAAGGTCGTAAAATTGAGCAAAACTCACTTCCCCGATGTTCCGCTCGGGGGTCATGTGTTCCCCTTTTGTGACCTTCTGACAAAGGGGGGGCAGATTTGCTTCACTACCGTGTTCCTCACTTAACAACGGCGTGTATTTGCTTAATGACGAGGGCAAGGAAGGTCGTAAAGTGGAGCAAAGCTCACTTCCCCGATGTTCCGCTCAGCCACGGAAGCGTCGGGCTGGATGGTGGTCGTAAGATGAGGACTAAGAGGTGGATCTTAGGGGTGCAAAGCACCCACCCGAACAAACTCAGGTTTTCCCCACACCCCCTTTTTTCTGCGCCCGCGTTACCTTGTCCCCCGAGGCGCCGGTCAACACGAAGGTGGAGAAAACGGGGAGATTGTACTTGGTGTCAGCCGGCCAGCTTTCGATGGTGGCCCCCATGGGAAGGCAGAAGACGGGCACCGATTCGGGGAGTGGGAACACCTCGTTGTCCTCCTCCGGGAAGCGGCTGAGGAGACCTGGGAAGGGAGGAAAGCCATCTTGGCTTAAAACAAGCAAG